CGTATAGATGTGTTTGAAAAGCAGCAAATCTTCTTTCGGGATACTCGGTTTTCTATCCTTTATTTTCAGATGCCTATTGAATCCCAAACGACGTGAGTATACTTCGATTCTCCGACACCTCATACTTCATTCATAATTTAGCTTTTCATCACGTGAAATGTTCTTGCAGTTTTTTTGTATATTCTCGTGTACATTATTCACTTGTTCTTCATGTGCTCTATCCAGGGCAACTTGTTGTAGCTTTAGTGAGCCATGAAGTAAGTTATAAGCTGAACTGAAATTTTAATCTCGCACCAGCCATCGTAATCGCAGAAGGGAAAAGAAAAAAGGCGGCTCAGTTCGAAGAAGACGTCACGATCCATATCCGGTGATTAACACTGACTAGAGAACCGAGCGGAAAATTTTCAATTATGTATATGTATGAGGCTAATTAATTAACTATTGCTTTGCACGGCGCATTTCAATGAAACTATTTAAATGAAGTTGACATCCTGTCGTAATTCCTAAGGAATGAATGGTTCGAATAACGCCAAAGATTTCGCTCAACAACAGTCAACAGGTTCTAGTGCATATCATACATCCAGCATAGCATCAATGGCCCCTTAGTCGATGGATTTAACGTCCTTCCACTCCTAGCACCGTCAATATTTCGTAAAACGTAAACTTTCGCTTCAAAAAGGGAATATACCTAAGAAAAAGACTTTACCAAAAAATTTTAACATAGCAAAACAGCCTTTCGCGAAAGAAAATTAGGCCTCAAATTCCATGTGCTGAAAAACTGTTTGTTGTTCATTCGCACCTCATCGGTAACTCATATTCAAATGGATCACCCTAAGTTGCGCATGAACGATCAGAAAAGAAACTAAACTCGTTAGAAACATCACTTAAGCAGACAAATTGATGAGCTGGTCATGCAACTGAGACATTAAATTTAGATATGATTCTATAAGCGGCACGACAGTCAAAATTTATTACAATAACCAAATGACTTACGAACGCGATGATTAAGTGTCAAAAAATATATTCAATAAGCGGTTTCTACACGAAACCGACGTTTACTTCAGCCCAAATTAAACGCACTCTTCCTATATAGTTAAGATAATGACGTTCTGTACTATTAATTTGCACTGAAGAAGTAGCATCGCTGTGGTTTACTAAAGCTTCGCTTATTAAATACATTTTTCAAGGCTTTCGCCTGTTTCTGTTATCACAAGAGCCTGCTTGTCTATTCGAACTGAATAGCGAAACGATCTACATCACACTGAAATCTATTAACGAGTTAATATTAAGTAATACTACAAACAATATGACTTTCAACTTTACTTGCTATGGAGCAAGACGAAGGGGAATTTAAGAATTTAACTACCGCACTAATACAGAAACCATTTTGACGAAGTAAATGATTTGCAGGTATAATTCTGTTCCACAAATGTATATAAACACTCAACGTTAATTTTACGCGAAGACCTGCAGCACCCTTGGAATTGGAAATGCCGGCAGGACAAATACCACAGCATCCCATTCAAACTGTGCGTCAAAAAAAACGTCAAGTTTACCGACTAATGTACGCCAAATATTCCACGCTATTATTTCTGATTGGCAAAAAACTAGCATAGACTTGCGTATATTATTTATTTGCGCGAATAGAGTAAGACATATAAGTACGCTCAGT